TCATTTCATTTACTTCAAGCACTAAAAATAATAATTATTGTACAATGAATCAATCTGAAAACACCTCCGTGAATAGTGTTTGTGTGTTTTTATAATAATACAATGTCTACGTGTATTATCGATATGGAGTGTATACTCTGGCTGGAAAATAATTATTTAATTAAAGAATTATCAATAATAGATGTCGATTCTATAGCAACACAACACTGGATTTTTAAACATACATTTAAAATCGTAAAAAGTTATAATGTGAATAAATGGTTATCGCGAAATAGACCCTTTATGACAGTAAATGTTGGACATGTTGAAAGTTCTCTAATTCAGGAAATTTTAAACTCGATACCATTTGAATACATTTATGTAAGAGGACAACAGAAACAATGAATACTTTTAGAGTTTATATCAACCATGAACATTTTTAATTTGGAGAGTTTATATATGCCGCATATAGATCGGTTAGAACCATGTGAAAATTCACCTAGTCGTATGTATCATATGAACTTAAATCCAAATCATTGTACATTTTATAAAATATTTCAACTAAGAAATTGGTTTAAAAATAATACTTAATTATTTATTACACACTCACATGTATTTTATGTACACAATATATTTTTTATAAAATAAATTATTAAACTATTTTTACTGATTTTCTAAGTATATGCTATACATGTACACGATCGAGTAAGATAACGATTCCTGATAGCGACAAGTAAATATTTATTCGCTTAAACGTCATGATAGTAGTTATAAGAATAAATAAGGCGATATCTCTAAATAATGAAGTTGTACACTTGGTCTTTGTTTCTACTCCTCTGGCTATCGTCCGATTTAAACAAGAAAAAAAAAACGTTGGGCTAGAGTGACGACTGTGCGTAACGTCTCAATTGCTAGCATACATGTGGTGACGGTGATTTGTGGAACAACGGCAATGATTGCCTGCGTACTATCCATCAGTATCTAATGTACATTTATGTGCATACAGCAATATAAGATAATGATAAGTACTATACAATATTGGTAATCACATTTAATATTTTCTTACGGATTTTGTTTTCATTGTTTTTAATTAATTACAACATTACCATTACCATTTTCTGTCAATGATCGATATGTAATGTAACGATAAGTATTTAATTTTTAGATTGGTTGGGAAAGTTAAAATGCTTTCAACACTGGAGAAAAAATTTAATAATTCTATTACGTGAGGTCGTACTAGTGTACAGAAATCAATTTTTCATTTCTTTTATTCTTGGTCAAAACTCAAATTTAGATTAAAAAAAAACCCAGCACAGTGTGGTTGTGGCATAGAGGGACGTGGCATAGTTGGGTCCAGTATAGATTTAATCTGACAGTGATTAAAATCACTATCATAAGAAACGCTTTGATGCAAATCTGTAGATAGTGTTTAATTCTAAGAAATTGGTGGATAATTACAAAAGCTACATTATCTGCTAGTTCCTTATTAATACCCTGATTAAGATAAAGTATGTCGAATGAAAAAGGGATTATTAAAAAATATTATTTCTCATAAAAAAATTGTGTTGATTCATACATTTTTCAATGAGTTATAGCATTATAAAGTTAAAAATGTAACCAACCCAACCCAACATCAACTCCTATTTCCTTAATTATATCCAGATTAGTAATTATTTTAATTATATATTATATAATTTTTATAATTAATTATTTTCAAATTATTATTGATTTTTAATATGTTAAAAGTAATCATTTTGAACCTACTTCTTTTTGTTCTTTAAAGTGAAAGTTTTAATAAAAAAAAAATGAATTTATTACCATAACTTTTAACTCAACTTGCAAGTTTGAAATAAATATTATTAAATAGAAAAAAATGAAATTGGTAGATTATTTCAAAAACAACAATAACACTTATTCCCTTAATTTTACCCCGATTTATAACTATAATATATGAATACATAATAATTACAGTAATTAAATTGAGTATGAAAGTGGTATTCAATAATATAATATTGTAATTTTTACGGAGATATTATAAAAATAAAAAGGAGTTGTATATTCATATACTTTTAATGCGTATACAAATTTAAAGGAATTTATGCAATACTTTTTAATAAAAAAATTTTGTTACTTATGAATAAATACACTAAACAAAAGGAACTTTCATCAGAAAAAAAATATACTTTTCTAAATAAACTTTTCGTGATGTTTTCAAATGTGCAATTAAACTTTTTCTATTACTTCTAAGTTTTAATATTATTACTTATTATTAAAAAATAAGTATTTATATATAAAAAAAAAATAATTAAGAACAAAAAAAATTGTATTAAATTAATACTGATTTTGATTTTTAATATGTTAAAGGTAATCATTTTGAACCTATTTTTTATTGCCTTTTAAAGTGAAAGTTTTAATGAAAAATACCTTCTCAGCTTCGCATCGAAGCTAAAAAATGAATAAATAAACCCATTTGTAGTTTCACAAGTAATCTATATTTTTTCGTGGAGGAAAGGGAAGAGATGGGTCAAAGTAATGTAGTACAATTCTTCTCTATAGAAAAATTCAGGTTTATTATCAAGACTTATGAAACAGATATGAGTAATAAATTTGTATAATTCTAAATAAATTAACCCAAAAATACTTAATAGTTTAGAAATTACAAGACTATTATGTCAAATTTACGAAATTGATCTTTTAATTAAAAAACTAAAAAATGAATATATGTAACCATAATAAGCTGAATAAGAAATAGTATTATTACAAGTTATTAACTTCGATGCGAAGCTGAGAAGATATTAACTTTACCACGATGTGTTTTTTTTTTTTGTGTATGTTGCCATTTTTTCTCAGCTTTCACTGGACTGATTTTGATAAACAATATGTAAAAAGATCACAAATCGTATCTAGTCGAAGTCATTACCCTCAAAAATTGAACAAATTTCTCTCGTTTCTCGTAAATGAGGGAAATCCTCCAAAAAATTTCAAATTTAAAAATTGTTAAATTTCGACATTTTTAAATTTTTTTTTACTTAAAACTGCCATACCTTTTTTAAAATTGTCCAAATTATGTTAATTTTTTTTTTTATAGATACCTTAGGTATTTACCGATCTTTTGATATATTTTTTTATAATTCGATCTTTTACCTGCCTACGAGGAGGGATTCAATATGACAACTTTTTCACAAAAAAAATTAACAATCAAAACAAATCTGTAGATAGTGTTTAATTTTAAGAAATTGATAGATTATTTCAAAAACAACAATAACCCATATTCCCTTAATTTTATCCCAATTAGTTATTTGATTTATAATTATTATATATGAATAAATAATAATTTTAGTAATTAAATTTAGTATGAAATTGCTATTCAATAATTTAATATTGTAATTTTTACGGAGATATTATTTAAATGATAAAGTAGTTGTAAATTTCTTTACTTTTATGCATATAAAAATTTAAAGGGCTTGACGTAATATTTTTTAATAAAAAATGTTTGTTACTTATAATAAAGTTATAAGTATTATACACTGGACTACAAGGAGCTTTCATCAGAAACTTAAAATTATTTTACTATATTTAAGGTTTTAGCTTCGATTCAAAGCTGAGAAGATATTTTTTTATTTTCTCTGCTCTAACTTAACCTACTTTTTTCAACGATACGTCAAATGATTACAATTAGTTGAAGATATTACCCTCAAAAATTGAAAAAACTTGTCCCTTGTTCTCCAAACAGACAATTAAAATCATTCATTTATAATGTTTTCAAAGTATTTATTGACGAATCAAGTTTAATATGATAGGTTTCAACTACAAAATTAAATCATTTTATTTTGTAATTTCATAATATATTTACTCTATTTGTGTGATCTACTACTATATTTTATGTCATATTAATTATAATGATCAGAAACTTGAAATCAACAAATATAGTATTGACAATCTATTTAAAAGTTAATGTCCAAAATTGTTAAGTAATTATTCATTTACAATAGATAGATGTTGAACTACAATCAGTAAATCAATCGTTTTTCAAATTTTATTTTATTTTTAATAATCAAATTTTATTTCTAAAAGTAAATGACTCTTAAATAAAAGTCTTAATTATTAGGTATCAATTTAATCTATTGCAAAATTTTTATACTATTATTTTTAATGATTATTTGTCATAATTCATGTATTAACTACTAATCAGTGTTTCAGTAGGTGTTTATGAAATAAAACTATATGAAATGAAAGATCAAGATGAGAACCCACTTGTAACAATATTTTCCAGATTTTCAAGCAAAAAATTCTTAAATATTTTGTTTTATAATTTAATAATTATATGTTTTCATACTTAGTTCAGTATAGGATTTTAATGTTTTGCATAAAAACAAATTCTTAAATTTTATGAGATTGAATTTTTTTAAAAGAAAATAGTTTTTTTTTTAACGAATAACTTATCATGTTATCTTAATATAAAAACAATAATAATAAAAATAAATATAATAATTAACAAAGATATTATAATTCTAATTTGAATTAAATTTTGTATATATTATAGGGTGGCCACTATATACATAAAAATTTCAATGCTTTACATTTTTAGGCTACAGACTTAGTTTTACGAAATATATTATTATATATAATATTGTAGCAATTGTAATTTTCTATAAAGCTCTTCTTACAATAAGCGATTATTCGTATTTACTACTTTAAAGAATGAAAAACATTCATCACTAAAAATCAATTTCTTAGTTCAGTCTAAATTATTAAAATTTATGAAATTAAATTCAAGATTACAATAATCAAAAATTAAATATAAATGAATTGCATCATAGTATTAGAAAGATTATTTAAATTATTACTTTGAATGGTACGTACTTTATGAAGTAGAATAATTATTAAATAATATTTATTTTTACTAAAAACATAACAAGATACTTCATAAAAAATTTATTTAATGATAATATAGTAAGAAATTATAACAATTTAATAATTACACAGAGTGTGTTTATAATACATAAAATAAAGGAAGTTATTAGTTATAGAAATATATAAATAAAAAGTTTAGAACTTGTTAGCATTACGCATCAAATGATGAAAAATAATCATATCACCGTAAGTTCAGCTACAAAGTCTTGGTGATTGACAGAAAATTTTAAATAACACGTATAAAGTAATTTTAATAATTTGTTGAGATAATAATTTAAAATTGAAGGTTTTGAAGGCACAAATTAGAAAAAATATAAAAACCACCACAATAGAATGAGCCGCTGTTTTCGAATGATCGGCTAAAACTTCATTCAACAGTTTCCATCATCCGTCAAAATTTTTAAAAGTATCTTTTCGAGCTAAAAATAATTTTTTTATTTTAAAAATTATGCACATTTTACAATTTAAATAATTGATATAAATTAAAATATTGTAAGTCAAATACTGAAAAATAGTTACATTCATTGCCACTGAACAAATTTGAATCCACTTAATTTGAATGTCTGTGGCCCATTTATGAACCATAATTATTGAATCTAGATAATCCAACTTTTTAATAACTTTTTTAGACGTTTTAACAATCCAATCCTTTTCATGCTGTTTAGTTTTGATTTTCTGCATGAAATGGCGCAAACATATTAGTCTGGCCCGTGCGGTAGTTTTATTAACTCGGATCAACTCTGATCCGAGAGACGAAATAATTTGATCCATCATATTTAACCATTTCATCATAGGATAAATAGATTTGTGCAACTCGAGCTGAAAAAATTAATTCAATCAATCGTTGGATAATATATAATTTTGAAACTTACCTTTTGCTGAAACGTCAGTGGCTTTATCCAATTAACAATGGTGTGTTTCCAGCTTTTGGAAGCCTTCATTGCAGGCATAGCAGTATCTAAAATTATAATATACGATAAAATTGTTACATTATTAACAATTTAAAACAAATAGTATTCGTTTAACTATTGCATAAAAAATTATCTACTTACTTTCAAGACACTTGAGGAAACTTTGCGTTTCATACATAGGAGTTGAAATATTCATAGTGTCTTGTTCTAATACTTGATGATCCGCTTGAAAAGTTTTTAAAGAGAATTTTTATAAAATGGAGCAAGACGTTGAAAAATAATTTCACACTTGATTACACCCTAACGATTCCAGAACTAACTGATGACAAAATTATTTTTGTGTTTATAAATTCACATAATTAGACAAACACGTTTACATGGAAAAAGATAAACAAATTTTTCTATGTTAAAAAATCAACCAGCACATTATTCCTAAGTTATTTTAAAATAATATAAATAGCTCTTTTGAAGTGTATTAAAATGAATTGAACTTTTACACGTAGAAACAAACTTAATATTAATCAGTAGCATAGCTACAATCTTTACGAGAGAGTAGAGAATTAAAGAGATTAGTTTTATTATTCCATAATAAACTTTTTTCTTAGTTCAAATAGTTCCAAGTATAATATTTAGTAAATAATTCAGTAGTCACTGTAATTTTGATGGAAGCTGCAGCTTTTCACCCCTTCCCTGACTATGTCACTGTAACAATATTAAATCTTTAATTTTAATTTGTACAATAATTTGATTTAGTTACTAACTGATTTTGATCATATTTTAATTTTAAAAAATACTGCAATAATATTTCCATTATTAATGATGAAAATTAGTTTATAGATTTCAGATGGTATGCTAATATGAAAAAAAAATAATTATGGTTACAATTTGTTTCATTTTTAGTAGAAAAACACAATTGTGGTTCCTTTATATAATGATTACGTTTCCAAATTTTGTTACAATACGTTAATTTTAAGAAAAGTGTGAATTTACTCAAGTAATTACTTTCTCATAAAAATTCCAGGCTTATGCGATCAATTAATTGAAACACAAGGGAAGGAGAGACCCTTTAGTTTTACATATAACAATATATATTTGCAGTTATCTTTAATCGAATTTTTAAGTAAAGTTTACATAGCTATAAATTCAACGGATGAAAATTGTTTATAGAATTAATTAATGAAGTATTTTTAGAAAAAAATGGTTAATATTTGAAAAAATATGCATATATTTATAAAATAAGTTGTAAAAAATATTTTGTAATTTTCAGTTGTGCCTCTGTTTTGCCCAGTTGACTGTGATTGATTAGCGGCCATCCGACCTGAAGAGTGCTAGCTCTAATTCATAACGGTTGTATTACACGGGTAACTGATTTTAGCTAATTTTATTTGAAATAAATTTAAATACTTTGCCTGCTTTAATTATTAGGCCGGTCGGTATTTTATTTATTGTTGATTACAATGTAATATGTACTGCATCGGCCGATAAGATCCAAATGTTTTTGATTTTTTTGTATGTGTATATTTATTTATATTCAGTTATGGGATTATTTATAGAATTGTGTGTAATGGAGTTCATTTTATTATATAAACAGCAATTTTAGTTTATATGTATATCTTTAATGATGAATGTATAACATCAATGACATGTTTATTTATTAAATAATATAATGGATAGTCATGCGACAATGAAATATTTAAATCTTTTTTTTTATGTTCCCATTATGGTAGTGACTGTATTGATTAATGTGATTTGTAAATTTTAGATTGTGCACGGTCTTTGGTAAAGCTACTAAATTTTCACTTCTGTTGTTGTACTCATGACGTATTGATAGTTCTGTGCTGCTGGTTTTTTTTGCTTGCCCTCCCTTACTGTTCGTTGCCGTTCCTCCAAAATGGTACCGTAAGCTTTTCGTTAGTTGTTATCTTGGATTTTATTTTCATTTATATTGTTTACTTTTCAGATCGCGTGTCAAACCTCGATTCCATAAGATCTTGCCATTCGACAACGGAGGATCATCACGATTACTACGTGCAGTCCGCTCTCGGAGATCGTCGAAAACGTTTATTTCTTATTTAATTTACAACTTAATTCCTTTACCAATATTATTGTATTGATTTAGGTTTGAGTCTCTCATTAAACCGTATTTTTCTAATAATAATTATGTCAATTTGTACTTCGAGTATATTACTTCAATAAGAACGAAATTTTTTTATGTGTGTGATTGCGACAATAAATAAACATTAATTAATAAAGAAACGTTAATTTTTTAATTTTTAAAAGAAACTAATATCCTACGTTTTCAATATTATTTACCATAGGTCGAAAAATAATAAAGTCTTTGTGTATTTAAAACATATTGCTCTATCACGATTGCAATTGTTTATTTTTCTTATTATATCGGTGATTAATTAATAATAATTATATTAATGCATTCAAATTATATTTCGAGTATTGTATTTCAATAGCAATAAAACCTTTTTTTATGTGTGTTGTTGCCCAATAATGAAACATGAATTTTCCTATTTATATTACTTTTTTTATTTGAAAAAATAATAATTTTTTTTGTGTGTGATATTTTTACAAACATTAAGACTTCATTATCCGATATAAAAAATATCGTATCTGATGTTACATTTTATGCATGGAAATTATTGTACACGGCGACTCTTACTTAGTCAATTATTATACAATAAACTTCCGATTCGTATTCGTTTTGTTCGAATGACAAACAATGCACTATTGTATTATTTTCAAATTTACAAGTTTAAATATTTATTTATTTAGCGAATACTTGAAATATTCGTTATGGCCTACTCCATTAAATACATTCAACGTACTTTAATTTCGAATACTCTACCTTTTAACCCCTATTCGATATGAGTGACCGTGTCACATGACCTTGATTTGCATCAAGGTTTTTTTTTATGATAATGATTGTAATCACTGTTACATATTTATATTGCACCCAATTATACACACTGTGGCGAGACACTGTTGGTTTTTTTTTTAAATAGCGATTAGTTGAAATAGTAGCAATGGGTTTACTTTAATTATTTCATTATTAATTTTAATAATAAATGTTATGAAGAGAGAGTTATTACTTTATTTGACCTTTTAAGATTTATATCATGAAAGTTATTATCCAACATTTAGTTTACTAGAACAAGACTAATATTATACACTTCATGACAATTAATTTTATCATTACCAGAAATTCCGGCTGGGTTGACAAAAGAGAACACGAGGTAGGTGAAATAAGAAGATAAGTTACAATAGGGAACAATGTGAATGGGGAGGTGGAAAGTTTTAAGTATTTAGGATCAGTTGTGCAAAAGAGCGAAGGTATTGACGAGGATGTAAGATACTGAATTAAGTTTGGGTGGTTGAAGTGGAGAGAAGCGTCTGGCGTCTTATGCGATAAAAAACTTCCAATGAGGCTGAAAGGTAAATTCTACAAGAATTTAATAAGGCCAGCTATGATGTATGGTTCAAAGTGTTGGGCGGTTGATGAGAAAGTAGAGCAGAGATGAAAATGATAAGACGGATGAGTGGAGTGACTAGAAAAGATAGAATAAGTAACAAAAATATAAGAGGGAGAATAGGTGTAGCGTCAGTCGTGGATAAGATGAGAGAAAATAGACTTAGAAGGTTTGATCATGTTATGAGGAGAGAAGAATCAGAAGCTGTAAGAACAGTTATAGAAATTAATGTTGAATGAAGAAGAGGTAGAAGAAAACCAAAAGAAGAGATGGAGGGATGGTATTGAATGCGATATGAGGACATCTGATGTGAGAGTAGAGGATGTGGAAGATCGTGTCAAATGGAAGTTTAGGATAAGAGTGGCCAACCCTAAGTAGTTGGGATTAAGGAAAAGAAAAAGAAGAAGATTACCAGAAATTCCGGTGACAATTGACATCATATAATTGTTGTTTGGGAATGTATAATTTAGCGTTTGGTTGGGTTTAAACAATATAGCGTCAAATAAATTATCTACTCTATCGGTTGTATCTTAATGTACACTAAACTTTAATGATACTATAAATAAATAAACTCACACATACACACATATGCATTTATAACATTGTGTCTAATGTAAGTATAACATGAAAAAAAGTAACCATAAAATGAAAAAATGGAAAATAAATTTTAGTACTCATATTAAATGTAATTTAACTCTAAAAATATTTATTTAAATGAAAAACTAGTAAATACTTTTTTTGTTTAAAATTGTCTTTTAAACAACTTTTGTACGAAACTTTTTTTTTTAAGTTAAATATTTTTTTTAGAAAATGAAAAAAGCTCATATTTTTGAACTTTTGCAAGGTTGTAAAAAAAAAGCTGAATTACAATCAATGAGAACTTTTAGTTTGTCATTATACATATCTTAATTTAACTTTTTCAAAAAAAAAAAATTTGGTTGGGAATTTTTTCCGCTATTTGACAAAATTACTCCTTCGTTGATCGGCTTATTATAATAGATATATTAATAATTATTAATATATCTTTTTGCGCCATTTTAATGATTGTAAAAAAACCATTTAAATTATGTGAAATTTATATGGATTTTATATAGTTTGAATAAAAACTATATGTTTAATCCTGTACAGTTTATAATAATTCTAATTCATATAACACATTATCATTGTATACAACGTTTATGTTAAACCGCTAAAACGTTTTAAAATAATTTAAAACAGTTTGAAAAAAAAATTTTAAAAATTAGGTTTTAAATTTAAAATTTAAAACAATTTCTAAAACAGTTTTTATATAAAATGTTTTAAACAAAGTTAGGTTAAATGAAAATGCTAATAAATAATTTCTGTTTAAATAACTAATTTAATACTGTTCTAAAATAAATAAAACCGTTTAGATGATATAAATAAAAGTTTATTAAAACTAACATAACAAAATATCATACTAAATGTTTTTAAAATCATGAGAATTATCACTATCCTTAATAACCCTGAAAAAAATGTGTTGAAGACACTTGCCTAAAACTAAAAAAAATATGATTGTAGAAGTACCATCATCTCGATTTTCACATTAGATATATGACATCAATTTTTACAAGTAAACGATCAAAGCTAAATTAATAGCAGCACCTAACAGATAGGTACACTACGAAAATAGTTTATCCTGATAGATTAAATTTAGATTGAAAACTTCAATATAATAGATATTGAAGATACAAAAATAGCCATTATTGTCAAAAAAATAATAATAATAAAATTAAAAATGCAAATAATAATAATTAAACCTATAAGGTAGTTAAACCCTAAAGTTATTTTCGATTTGTTCAAGTCGTAAAACTTAATTCAAATCTCCTGTTATTTTCTTTTTTCAGAATTATTATGTCATTAATTCAATTATTAATTAAATTGTTAAACTTTATTATATATTCAACTTAATAAATTTTTATGTTGATTATAATCGCATGGCATGATGTTTTTTATTCATAACTATATGATAATAGCAGTCACCCGGGCAAAATTTTTAATAGTTGCAAGAGCATAAATCCAAACGTTGGTATTTTATTTCATACAGATTAAATTTTATATGTATAAATATTCTGTTAACAAATATCAAATTTATTCCACTTGAACTTTCATAAAAAAATCTGTATCATTTGTAAACTAATATAATAAATAAATAAACAAATACAAAAATTTTTTCCTCAAAAAATCTTTAAAGAATATATACATATTTTGATAATTCTCTATAATAAACTCTTAACACGTTGTATTCTTTGACCAATAATAAAATAAAAATAAATAATTATTGTTTATACTAAATTTATTTATAATTGGCTTATACATTTGTTTAATGAATTTTTACAATTAAGTTTCCTTGACAATGAGATGTAAATGTTGATTTTATCGACATTTCAGTTCACTCCGTTTTTTCCCGTGAAAAATAAACTATCGTCTTGTGTAATTATTAAGATTTATTTAATTAGTTATTGATATGGCAAGTGAAAAAAATATTTTTGGTCAAACAAATGAATCAAACTTACATAAGGTCATACGCAGAGTTGAAGAAATATGGAATCGTCGTTTCATGCATTCCAATTATGTTTTAAATAATACAAATAAAGGACAAATATCAAAAAAGTCATTTAAAGATGGAAAAATTATCTGTAAATACTATTAAGATTAATAATTAAACCAACTATTTCGATTAGAGAAAAAGTTTTTTTATATAAAATATAAGAACAATTAATAATAAGTTCTCTTATTCATATATAACAATAATTCAGTCGCTTTATTTTAATTTAACTATTTTAATATTAAAAAACTTTTTCGAAATTTATTATTTAATTAATAATTATTAAAATGATATTCAATTTGCAGCAATTATTAATAAAAATATTTATCCTATAACAAATTCCATTATTCCAAAAAAACGCACGTATCGAAAAACGAATAAAAATGATAAAATTATTCCAGAAAAATTGGTAACTATAATTATATTAATATATTTATTCGATTTAGCTATGTTATTGGGGTTTGTCTGATTCAAAAATATAAAATAAACTATCAATCCCCTTAATATAAATGCGATAGCATAATGTTTAATATTATTCTGCTATTTTTTCAATAAGATTTTTATGGGAAATTCAATTTTTATGGAAGATAATAATATAATATTAAATATAGTTTATATGTTTATTTAAATATCTCTTTGGTTGCCTAGAAATTGATGAAACCAGAATTCCGAACACTTTTTCAGAATGAAATATCTGGAAACTATAAAAATGAAATTTTAAATTCAACAGAAAAAAAAAATATAGCAATTTCAAAAGACAATCCGCTATTAATATCATCTGATTTGTTAGAAAAGGTATATTTTATTATGCTATTTTTCAATAAAAAGATTTCAGGGTATACCCTAAACCATTTGGATTGAAAGCAG